AAGCTGTCCTCACTTCTTGATATAAATAGGACTTTTTGCCACAAACAAGAAGGTTCTTCAGAAGAAATTATTCAAAATGTATATCTTAGTCACCAAAATGCCACTTCAGAAGATGGTGAATATTTGGTATCACAAACACAACTGGACTTTGCCAATAAGGCATATTTTTCCTTGATAGTAAATTACTATCAAGATTCTTGTAAATTATGAATTTATGGTTTTCTAATTCATGCTTAGCAACTTATTTATATATGAGCAAACTTATCCAGCTTTTTATGGTGTCTAAGTGAAGGTGAGCTGCAGTTGCAAATGGACATTTAATACAATATACATACACTACAGGAATATTTCCATGTAATGAATGGAGAAGCAGTCCTATAGTGAATCAGTTCCTCCAGGTTAAAGATTTATTCACTTCTGTCTTTCATGGACTACGTCAGATATCCTGAACATAAAAAACACACCCTTTTCAAAATAGAAATGAGAAATTACTAACAAATATTGGGTGTATCATTATAGTTCGAGTTTGCACAAGGTTCAAACATATCTGAGCAATTTTCTGATGCTCAGATGTGTTTATCCAAAAAGTCAACTCAGTAAATCAGAGCAGAGCACGTCTGATGTCATAAAAATGTGTCTGATGTAAATTTTATGCTTATAAATTTAGAAGAGAGGCAGTCTGCTTAGTCAGAGATCTTCTATTGAAGGCGTTAAAATGTCCTCCAGCTCTAATACGATTAAAATGTTTCATCTCCAGAGAGATGATAAAACAAACTGGTTGACACATTTGTTACTTCTAAACCTGACTGCTGTAATTCTTTAATATAGGCGAGGACATAAATTCAATGAAATAACTTTTGATAATCAAAAATACAGGAAGAAAAATACAAATGTGAGATTAAAAATGTCTAATTTTAGCTTCTCTTCACAAGGTCCCTGTCAGATAACATATTTTAAAATGTTTTTTGCTTAGATATAAATTTCTGAATAAATAAGCTCCATCTCAAATCGAAGAACTGATTGTTCCCCATGTTCCCAACGGGATACTTGGCTCTTACAAGAAAAATGCACTGGTGGTTTATAGGTATCAGGCTCCTCTCCAGTGGAACCAGCTCCAAGACTTTGTCCATCGACTGGGCTTTAAACTTTTTGTTTTAGTAGAGCTTAAAGTTATGGTGGCTCAGGTTTTCTTTTACTGTCCCTATAGTTAAGCTTCCTGGACTGCTGGAGGATAATGCAGGCCAACTCTGGAATTTTCTCAAATTAGATCAAAGTTTTCGTTTGTGAAGATCTGTGTTTTTCAAAGTAAGTTAAACACTGAGAAAAACTTTCTCCAAGCGATATTTCTACACGGGGATCCTTTTGTTTACTTGTGTAAGTCGTCAAGCACAGCCAAATATTAGCTGCAGTGTCTCACGCTGAACTTCGACAAGGCTTTAAAGAAACATGACAGCTGAGATCTTGTAGCCTATAATAACGATGGAAATATGTAATTTTGACACATTTCTGCCTCTGACACCTTGGAGACGCGTGTGTCGGACACCTGAAGGGGCGCAGCGGGTTCAGAGTTGCCTGCAGATGGAGGTATATAGGGAGCACCGGGCTGTATATGTTGAGCTTCACCACTGAGATGGACCTGGCCCCGTTTCTTCACCTCCGCATTGAGCACCGGCCTCCATTTATCAAAGCAGAGTCTTGGCTCAGCCGAGTGACACGCTGGGACTGCTGCTGTCGTCCAGGCCATACATTATGTCAGTTAAAGCTGTTTTTTATTAGCTGGATGATAGATAGTTCTTTAATTGTTTAGTTATTTTTTTTTTTCCTCCTTGTGTGAAAACATGGATTTGAACGTGGGAATGTGAGGACTCTGCTGTTGCTATGTTTGGAAAGAAAAAAAAAAAAAGAAAGGGTTTGACGGAGGGAGAACGAGACTTGCTGCTGATGTGCTGGAAGCCGAAGAGCATTGTTTCTGATAAATAAACATGTTAACCTGAGCGAGGAGGTAAATGAGTCACTACTGAGGAGCTTCGTGTGATGACGAAACTCAAAACATAAAGATTTATTTAAAATGTCATCTTCTGGCCTGAAATCTTCAGTTATCATTATGACAATCTGCTCATTTGTCAAGAAAAGATAATAAACACTGCCTGTCGTCTTCTTCAACTTAATGTTAGAACAACCCAGTCTGAAAGCTCTTACATGAGTTCATCTCTTTTTCTTTTTTTTTTTTTTCCTTGCTGGTGGAGTTGAAAATAAAGACGGAGTAAAACGAACCCTGGACGGATATGCATCGCATTTTCAAGTTGAAAATGTTAGTTGGGGAGAGCTTTAGCTGTCAACTTGGGTAAAGACTTCTTCAAGTCACACAGATATCTTACATTGAAAACAAATTTAGTGCAAATTAGTTCTATTTATATAAGACTACCGTTACAGTTTTTAAGATAAAATATTCCTACCTCAGAACAGCAAAACCAGGAGCCTGTATCATAACCAAGTGAACACCAGCAGGACCTTATATGGAACATCCTGAAATTTAATTTGACTGTCTTCCAGTAGACCAACCTTTTCCAGAAGTCCTTAGGGACAATAGACATGATGTCAGACCAGTACCTTGTTGCTGAAAAAGGGATTAAAATGGTTTGGCTTTTTAAAACGTTAAAAGAGAGAGAGAGAAAAAAAACACACTTATAATGCACATTTTTAGAATAAATGTGCATTATAAGTGTAAGTTTCAGCCTGATATTTTTTGTTAAATTATATAAAAGAAACCTTTTGCCATTTTGGTGAATGATGGAGCTCAATAAGCCAACCTTGTAGCAACAGCTTTAGGGTGAACAGAGTTCTCAATCAAAAATGTGAAGCTTTCAGTGTCAGGAGCTGGAGAGCTCGCCATTAGCAGTTGCTACCCAGATTTGGGTAAACAGCAGAGCATGGATGGACGGATAAGTAAAATTAGCCTAATTAGCCTCAAAATTGCCGCTAATAACCTCCTGTACAGTTAATCAGGATTAATTAGTATGCCACAAGGCTGCAGAATAAAGCAAATAAAGCATGGGAGGACTGATTGAGGGATGGAATGCTTTCTCCTCAGCACCTGAAAAGGACTGCTTTGATCAGAGGCATTAAGGCTGGGCTGAAATGGGATTTTACCAGATCATCTCGCATTTGTTCAGGAAATGGTAGAGAATCGGTGTAAACAGACCGCTCACTGTTAGTGCTGGAGACTGAACTTGAACTTTTCTGTTTATTAACAACTAAGACTGAGATGGAAAATCATAATCTTATCCTATTTCTTAAGCATCAGTGTGGCCTTTAAACCATTCCCCTCAATAAGATCCCCCTTTGCACTGTTGCTTTGTTTAGTTCCTCTGTGCACTCATAAATATGCTCATTTTCTCCCCATAGTTTGTCCAAGCATGCAGCAGTTATTTTTCTCCATAGGCAGCTGCGCAGCAGCTACTGGAGTGATGGGAAGCTGCAAAGCAGAGCTGCTTTCCCTCTCAGCTGCTGGAACCAGGCTCATTTGTCTGCTACAACCTCGGCTTTTGCTCCAATGCTTTCCAGATGTTACAGATGTTATTACCACATTATTGCTGCTGGTGGAGCCCCAACTGTGAAACCAACCACGACAGGCTCGGCCTCGGTACCAGCGATGGAAGTGGAGGGGTTTGAATCTATGTTTCTCTTGGCATGAGGCCACTGGGGTCTCTAAAGGTTTTCATTGATTTATTTAGGAAATCTGAGAATCCAGTGAGAATAATATGAGGTTTTTCAGTAGCATGTCAATGTGGTGAGTCTCTCATACTCTGTGAATATGGATCCTCAGTGCAGCATAAATGCAGGGTATTCAACATGGTTTGTGGACAGACAGTAATCTTTAACCCAACAGACTCATGTTCACATCTGTCTATGAACATCACCACGTCTTCAACTTCCTCATCTCAGTTCATTTATAAGGAGCCAAATCATAACACAGGTCACCACAGTGCCTTTTAAGGTCTGTCAGAGCAACAATCCATAATGTGAGACACTAGAGACCATCTGACCAGAGTCAGACTGATTCACACCCTTTAACAGCTTGTAAATGAAACTATATATTCATGACACATAGTGACAACTGAACAGTTTGATGACGGAATTTATGAGATCAAGTTAAAAGTTCACAAAAAGCTATTGGAAGCTGCGTACAGCTGTCATTTTATATGTAACAGGGTTTGGTTGCTATTTGAGATGGTCAAGCATAAACATTTAGCAATAGAGGAAATTACATTTAAAAATGACTATGAGGGTCAATACCATTTTCCTAACAGTTCATACCCTTTAAGAACATGCAGTTTACACAAATTCCCCGAAAAACCTGCATAAAACCTTGAGTCGTTACCTTTGTTTTGTTTTCACTTTAATTTTGTTATCCTCTAAAGTTCACTTTCTAAAGAAGTATGGATAAAACTTCTCCACTGACCTGGAATGGTGTTGATGTGATTGAATGCTGTTTTTACAGGCTTTGGTTTGAGAGGTACTTCACATGACAAGCTCAGAAAACTTGCAGTTCTCCCAGATGTTTGCTAATTCCTCCTGCCGCTAGTCTGGAGGAACTGAGTGGGGATGACGCTGTGTTCTGTGAGGCAGAAGCTCAGCTGGAGATGGCAGCTCCAAAGAGAAACTGTGTGGAAATAGGTGATGCTTTATATGAGCGAGTGCTTAGGCACTCCTGAGTCACTGCCATGGAAGCTTCAAGGATTTCTCAAACATGCATGAAAGAATCAAATAAACACCCTATGTTTTTGATGAGGGATTAATATTACAACCTGACATAACACTCTCCTCCACCCCTTTAATAAGTGGGTTAGATTGTTGCTTCCATTCCAATACGTAAAGTGGTCTGGGACAAGAAATTAAAGTTACTTAGCAATTTTGTGCACTTGTGTCACAATGAAGTGACCACTTGCTGATTGTTCCAATAAATAAATAAAAATAAGAAATCATATTTTTATTGAATGAATATTTTTTCTCTTATAGGTTTACAAATGAAGGGACAAATATAGGCAGGCATCTTAGTTATTGTCATTAACTTTATAATTATATTTTTTTTCTGCCCTTTCTCCAGGACTAATTCAGATCCAAGTTTAAGTCTGAGCAGTAATTAGCAACAGCAGTTAGATGTAATTGCACATTTGCAAATACCTTTGTGACTATTCGTCTAGAACAAATACAAAGAGTTGAAACTGATTTTGAATAATGATTTTAAAACGTCTGTATTAAATATCACGTCCAAGTGATATAAATGTCATCTTCAAAATCAAACAGATTTTACTCCCGGCTTTTTAATGGCCAACTATGCATCATGAGAATTCTGGGTAGTGGGGTCTTTCTTCCTTGTTATTGTCACGTGATGCTAACTGTAGCAGCAGCTCTGTAAACAGGCTTTGCCAGCTAGCATGATGCAGGGGAAGACTGTGATAGTGACGGGAGCGAACAGCGGGATCGGGAAAGCTACAGCAGCGGCGATTGTGAAGCTCCAGGGCCGGGTGATAATGGCCTGTCGGGACCAAACCAGGGCTGAGGAGGCTGCCCAGGACATCCGGCAGGAGACCGGGGCAGACAGCAGGCAGGTCATGGTCAAACAGCTGGACCTGGCCTCCTTGAGGTCTGTGCGCTCCTTCTGTGAAGACATTATAAAGGTAAATAGATTGTTGATAATTACCCGGGTTTCATCAGACACATCTTTGTACGTTTCTGTGGAGGATAATAGTTTAGGTTGAATTAAAAACTGAGGTTTATCATTATTATTGTTTTTTTATTATTATTTGTTGAATACTTGTTTCAAATGTCCAGTCCGCAAAACATGAGTCTAAAATAAATTGCATTCAACAAGTAATTTATTCTACCCAAAGGCATTATAAAAAATGTGATAGTTTTTTTTTTTTTTTTTCTAATTCTTCCTAAATTACAATTACACTATTTACAAATAAAATCTCACTTAACAAGACACTATTCTCACAGATTCCAGACAAAAAAATAATAAAAGCAAAACAAAAACAACAAAAATAACAACTTTCTTATTTCATCCACTTTCCAGAAACTTGCATTGCTTAGTTACACACCAGACTCCCATCATGTCACATGTATTCATATATTGCATTAATATAGCTATTTGTCTTCAGGATTTACTGAAGTTGTATGGTAAATTTTAAAACAAATCAATTGCGGTAGTTCTCAAGCCATATGACATTCATTCTGTAGAACCTCACTGAGCTTTAGCTATTCTGCTAATAAAAACAGAGAAAAAAAATTGAGTCTAAATACAAATTACACAAGTAATAGATTTTCACCAGTAAAAGATTTTGAAATCTATGCATCTGCTTCCTTTGGCTTTGAGGCTCTACGTTTGTGGAGTTCATTAGTTTTGAAAAGCATAAATGCACTGAGTTTCTCCTTTGCGCTGTTAAACAGGAGGAACCTCTGCTACATGTTCTGATCAACAACGCTGGAGTCTACCAGTGTCCTTACACCAAAACAGAGGACGGCTTCGAGATGCAGTTCGGGGTCAACCACCTCGGTCACTTCCTGCTTACCCACCTGTTGATGGACCTCCTGAAACGCTCGGCGCCCAGCCGCATCGTGGTGGTCTCCTCCAAGCTTTACAAACACGGTGACATTAACTTTGAAGACCTGAACAGTGAGCAGTTCTACGACAAGGCCTTTGCCTACAGTCGCAGCAAACTGGCCAACCTGTTGTTCACCTGCGAGCTGGCCCGCCGTCTGGAGGGCAGTGGAGTAACAGCGAATGCTCTGACTCCAGGCATCGTGAGGACTAACCTGGGACGGCATGTGCACATTCCGGTTTTAGCAAAGCCCCTTTTTAACCTGATCTCCCGGGGCTTGTTTAAAAGCCCGGAGGAAGGAGCTCAGACTTCAGTGTATTTGGCCTCCAGCCCGGATGTTGACGGTGTGCAGGGAAAGTGCTTTGCAGATTGTAAGCCTATGGAACTTCTGGATAAGGCCACAGATCAGGAAGTGGCATCGAAACTGTGGGACATCAGTGAAGTCATGGTGGGCATAACGACTTGAGAACCGTCTGAGACGTTCACGTTTTTTGTTGTTGTTTTTTTAGCAGGGTAATAACTGAAGCTGAAAGATAATCAATGCCTTGGTTACAATTCCTTAACTTTTAGTTGTGGTGTTGAAATGTCAAAATGCTTTCTATGTTTATGGAAATGTTTGTATCCATTAACATAGTGGATTGTTTGCAGCATCTTGTGTCAGGTGCTAGAATCTCTGTTTCAGTTCTTCTTTTAATAAATTCCTAAGATCAAATGTTTCTAATGTAACCTTTCTAACAGAGCTGTAGTAATGAGTGCCCTGAGTTTTACTAGAAGTTGGAGGCCTGTAGATTTTTTTAATACTTTCTCTGCAATTTATGTGTTAACCTTGAGATAACATTGCTGGGATGTCCATTCCTGTGAAGACTGACAGCTTTCTTGAACATTTTAAAATATTTCTTTCTGTAAAAAATGGACGTTAAATACTTTGGATATCAATCAACAGCAACAGTTGCTTCTCTGTTGTCATTGCTGATGTTTTTCCACACTGTTCAAACTCCTCTTTTTATAGAGGTGGTCACATAGATGATGGTTGTTCAATCTATACATTTGATCAGGAGCACCTAGCTGGTTTGTTCCCTCTTAAATTCTCCAGAAGCAGCCAGGTTGGACTGGCCCACGCTTTTTATGCAGGTGCACATAACAGAATAATTCTTATTTACTTGCTTCATTAGCAGCCTCCCACATCTATACACACCTCTGGAGGTTTGGAGAGGTTTTGCCTGTGGAGGGTCGCATTTCAGATATCAGTTTTCCCCCAGCAGGTTAGTTAGGCGTCATTCAGCCATACCGGTTGCTCTAAAAACCGGTCATTAGCTGGGAATGTTTGCTCTCCAAGTCACCCGAAAACAGCAGTTTTTTTTTTTGTTTTTTTTTAACCAAATGGTAGCGGGACCTCCAGGATTCATGACTTTCCCACCTGTATTGTTCATTAGGACATTTTCTGGATCATTTATGGTGAGCTGGAAAACGAAGTAGGAACACAAAGGCAGCCACTTTATCAATTTCATCTCACACACAATGCTCCTGGGCCACTTTTTAAGCAGCTCCAGTCTATTTGTTTTACAAATGACTCCAATTAGTGTAATTACAGAATCTGATGTTCTTAATGGGCACTGTAATATTGATAGGTCCTTGAATGCTACTTTAGATCTGAGTATTTCAGTCAGGCTCCTTATCCAACACATAATGGATCAATTAAAGGAGCACTATGTCTGTTTGTTTCTGAGCTTCTGTTGGAAGGCCTTGCTCCTTAATTCATACACTGAGTTTTATAAAACTTTTAGTTTTTTTGCATCTTTTGGATTTTGGCAAGTAGATCTTCAGTAATTACTTTATTTGTAATTTTACTTCCCGCCCCCCCTTCTTTTTTAACATAATTTTTTGTCTCGTGTTGAAACTGACCAAGAACCCAGTCCTATTATTATTCTATTCAATGCTAAGTAACTGGAAAATATAAAATAGTCCCTTCAGCTATAAGGAAAGTCTCTTCTTCAGTTAGATGAATTTAAGTATATTGGAAAAGCAGCAGATAGATCAACAGTTTGTCTGTAGTAAAGAGGGAGTTACTCCAGTCTTTGAATGAAAGATGAAAGGAGGGGCTCTGAATTATTGTTCCAGATCTAGTTCTTCAATGTAAATGCCAGAAAATGGCTTCCTCTGGGAAACAGGTGTCAAACTCCACTCCTGTAACTTTTAGGTCATGAGCACGACTCCGGAACTTGAGTGGATGATGGTGAGGTGATTGCCATTTAAATCAAGTGTGTTGGACTTGGGATACATCCTAAAGTGACAGAACAACAACTTATTGTGAAGCAAATCCAGACAACAATATATGGGAACATCAACTTTTATATTTTAAAATGGATAAACGTCTGAGATATATCTCAGATATATAAGGAATGTAGTTGCATGTAGTCACAACCTCATTCACCTCAAAGAAGATGTAGGGTCAAGGTGCCTTGTCAACACCTGTAGGCCATACATTACCAGGAGAAATACAGACAACTGTCTGCTCAGGTGTGGAAGGAACAGCACTATCTCACCGGCATGGAGCCGCAATGTGATAAAGATTAAAAAAATAATTTGTCAATAATAGTCTTGTCTAAGCTTTTAAGCCTGCAGCCCATTAATTGTATATTTACTTAAGAAATTGTTATGCAGAGGTAATAAATTTTTAAAAGAACACATAAAGTAGACTATAATGTATGTATTTATTGTGTAAATATGCAATATTTATGAGTGGTACTTGGAATAGTCAGCAGGCATTAGTGGAAGACATACATCATCTTGACTTTAATAAGACTAAAGGAATTTCAGGTGAACTTGAGGCAATAGAGTACAAGGGCTTAAGGGGCTGTTTTCTATTTTATGTTGAGAATGCGATCAAGGATAGAAATTGTGAGACATCATGCACTTCGGTGTTATAATCAATCATACAACTTGATTTTTAGACCTACAACTACACCCGATTATCTCCGAGCAATACTGACCTGTTTCTTATCTGGATGTTGGTTGCAGCCCTAGCACAACATTGAGTAAGGATTTTTCTCTGATGGTTTTCAACAAAACAATTCCATTTCTCTTGGGGTACGTGTTCAAGAGACCTGCTGAAGTCATGCATAAATTTAAGCTTAATTGTAGGCACTGGTGGATACTTAGAACCCTGGTCATACAAGCTGCATTACTGATAAATAAATTGCGTTCTTGTGGAGAATGTTTGATGTGATCAAAGTGTGACTTTCAGCGCTGTTCAAAATGTCAACTAAACCAGTTTTCTCATTGTGATTTTAAATATAGAAATCTTCAAACTGAATGTAGACTTACTGTACTGCTCTAAATGAAGGAATTCTGCATACAAATGAGAATAGGTAATGAACATTTTGGAAGAATGCCAGGGAAGATTATAGTTTTAAATCAAGATGTCAGGGTTGAGTGTCTGGAAGAAATAGGCCTCAGGCGAGTAGTTGTTTGTGATTTAAGGAGTTTTATGTTTCTGCAGTCATGTCTCTTTGAAACATGTAATACTCCCCCATACTTATTGGAGCTCCAAGCCAGAACAATTTGCAAGATAATCCAGGGAAGAAATGGTTTAAATTTCTTCATCCTTATGCTCCATGTTGCTGCTACTGTACATTTTCATGATCTCTCATGTTTGGATCTAGACACATTAAACCAAAAAACAAGATTTTTGGACCCTGGAAGTAAGATCAGCTATTTTAAACTTCCTCCAGCTGCATTTTCACCCGACAGCCCGAGATTTACAGGAGACAGAGGAGGTTTCAATGTTTCTGTGTCCAGGCTTCCGCCAGTATGATCCCTTAAATCTCAAACTTTCACTGAATGATTTGAAGCACTAATAGGTCTTGATTCTGACACTTTCAGCAGCAGCATGCCAGGTTTTTCCTTTTTTATCAGCTTCTTTCATCTTCTTTCCTAACACCAGCTGGACCATGACCAATGCTGCAGCAAGAGGGAGGAAAACAACCTAGGTGTTTAGTTTGGCTCCTCAATTCACCAAAATGAACTTTTCAACCTTCCCTCGAAGTCTACTTTTTTTTTTTTTAATGATATACCTGGGCTTGTTTTCCAAGCACCTCTAAAATTAGCTTCATAACTCCCTAGCAAGTGATGTGGAAATGTGTTTTTCTTTTCTTTTTGCCTGATGCCATAATTCACTTTACAGCTGACAGCCATCAGCCAACATACATCAGTTTGACAACCAAAGTCAGATTCCATCATCTCCAAAACTAAAGAAAGTGAATGTCATCCATTTTTAGGCTTGCTGTTAAAATGTGCTCCTCTACATTTAGAAAATTCAAACCATATACGCTTCATGAAGCTCTTTACAGATGTGGTTTGCAAGGGTATTGATTGTTTAAATTATATTTTATGAAAGAAGAAATAAAAACCTTAAAAATGTCAAATAATTGGAACCCTCAGTACAACGTTGGAAAGCGTTGCCAAAACTTAGTTAAGAAGAAAGGAGATGACCACTTAGCAACAGTTTGGCTTCATGTAAGAAAAGATTGCTACAGAGTTGGTGGATCTGAAGAAAGCAAAATATAGTCTCAAGATCATCCCAATTATGAGATATGAACCATTTATTTGCATTACAGAAGGATTGTGCCACATTTCACCTGCAACGATTCTTAAAACAACAAAACTGTATTCACAGGTTTTAATTTAATTAATGAGGAGCATTTCTGAGTGCAATACAATGAAATCAGATTCCTACGAAGAACTAGACAAAGATGCCAAAGATTGTCATTGCCCAGAAAAGGTCAGCACAAAAGTGATCTTTGGGTGTAAAAGTTAAAGGACTCGTTATTTTGTGGGTCCTGACTTAAGTAATCACTTCTCAAAATTGTTAAGTTGCCCGACCACAAGAGACCCCGGTAATAAAAAAGGTAACTGCACTGAAGACACCGAATAAACAGAAAAGAGTCGCAAGATGAAGAGAACCAAACCGCAGCTCTAAAGTGAGGCTGAGGCTGATAGCAGGGCCAGCCAGACAGTTAATAATCCTTCACTAGCAAGGACCAGGACACAATAAAAATACTTTGAAGGTTTATTGAAGAAAGGGGTCGAGTGGATGGGTCGTATGGGGAGACTTATTGATGAAGACTTGGGAGGAGGAATCTCAGTGTGGGGATGGTGTCTTCAGGAATGAGCTCTTTCCCTGTATAACTTAGGACCTCTGCAAACGGAATCTTGAACAAGGAGGAGCAAATGAAGAATGAAAATTTAAAGTAAGGATGACCGAGATGGGATGAAGAGAATAAATAGGGATAAGATGATGTCCGGATGTGGATAACGGAGGGTTGGTTTGAACGAACATAACGGAAAGTGAAGGATGGTTGAACTTAGTATGGGTAGATTGCTAAGTAATTAGAAGTGTGGTTGAGGTGTGGCCCTTTTCCCGAACCTATGTTTAAACCACATGTGGTTCAAACCATGCTATGGCTTTCCTTTTCCACAGCATCGTGTGAATTGTGGTCCCAGGTCCGTGTTGAGATGTGTCCCTGATTCAACCCAGAAGATTCAAATGAATGAATTCCCTACACAGCTGGTCAGTTGTCAGCAAGTTCTGCAAAGGTCTTGTAGTGACCCATCCACTTAAATCAGTTATGCTACAGTTACACTAAAGAAATATTTAAGAAATATTTGAGGACTGGCTTTGGACAGCACTGATATAGAGAGTCAAGTTGATCATCTCATCCAAAGACGCCTTTTTTTCTGTGCGGACATCTAGATCATTTTACAGCAGCACACACACACACACAAAATCGCACCTTCTAAAAATTTTTTTCATTTTTTAACTGCATAAATATAGTGAATGCCTGTCAGAAATAAGCAAAGAAATCGAAACAAGGTTGGTAATCCTTATGATGAAAATGGAATATGGGGATCCAACAAAGACAGGAATAATGAGAACAAAACACAAAAAAGTAAGATCATAGAGGTAGTACGCTCGAAATCTTCTCCAACTTGATTACACAGTGAAGTAAAACTCCTTATAAATGAAGGACCTGGCCTTTGGTCGCATCTGTGATCATTCACGGACCTGAATGTGTGGTCATTCACAGGGAAACACAAGAGCGATGAGACTTCTTATGAAACCTTCAAGTTTCATCTCTACCTACAGACAACAGACTGTACAAGCAGGAAGTACAGCAAACATTGCTAATCCATATTACATCCTTAAACACTATAAAACGCTGCAGGGAGGACGCGAGTTAAAACAGATCTCCCTGGTTAATGACGGCTTCCAGCGCGCCAAGTGCAGATCCCCGTCAGCCGAGCTTTGCTGAATGAAAGGTGAGCAGCAAAGAGCCTCTAAGAAGCAAGAGCTCATAAATCATCTGGAAGAGTTTAGTGTAAAGTAGCGAGAGGACTGTGCGGGGCCCGGGGAGCGCTTGTCTTGAGCCTACTGCTTGGCCGGAGGGATTTGTTTGCTTTAACCAATCCAAACAGTTAGGAGAAGAAAGAGCGGGCTTGCTCCTCACAGTCCCACCGTGGGATTGTCCTCTCTTTTCCCTCTGTTTTCTGTCAAACATGCACACATGTTCCCTCACATATATCGCCTCCGTAAGGAAGGGAGGTTGTGCTCACTAATATAAACACAATCCGTGGCTGTTGTTTATGCCATCACTTCAGTTAAATGTGTGCTTTTCCTCAGTTCAGACTGAGGATATAGGATCAAGTATTTTGACAACAGGTCAGCAGAGGGATACATCAATTGAAGGGTTGAGTTAGGGCTTAGGTTAGAACCACACTTTAGGTCATGTCGTCCGGGAGGAAACTCTCTTAATAATCCGGGCCAAGTGAGTCTGATGGAAATAAGATTTACTTTTAAAGCCCCCTCTAAGTAAAGTTAAGTCAAGAATACACAGGCTTAAAACATTTAAACATCCTAACTTATCCCAGGCAAATCCCAACCTGGGGTGTTCATATATTATCCCTATGCATGCATTGGTTATCTCTGGGTAGTCTGGCCTCCTCCCACAGACCAAAAACAAGACTGTTAGGAGTGACTCAGTCTAAATTGCCATTAGGAATGAGTGTGTGCAAGCAGCATAGTTTGTCCTGTCAAAACATAGCCCCAAGACAGACCTGCCCAGGTTGAATCCTGACTCTCGCCCAATGGCTTCTGGAGATACCCAGTCCCTCAAGGTCATGTAAGTATAAGTGGGGATAGATAATGCATGGATAGAGATCCATGCATTATCTATGCAAAGGACCCACCTGACTGGGGGTCCTTTAGAAGTTAGTCACTGTTAAAATCACAGCAAACTGTATGGAGCTCCACACCCTGCCTCCCCCTTGTTTCTCTCTATTCCCTCCAGCCCTCAACTGAGTTGTCTGCAGAACATCACAGAGTCTGAAGCCATCACAGTCAAATTATGCAACTTAAATATGATGTGAAAATGATTTGTTACTTTAAGAATTCTGTTAAATGTTTCCTTTTTGATGGAAATATAGGAACTTTTAGATTAAACCTGTTAGGTGAATTCATACTTTACAGCAGATTCGATAAACCTGCAACAAACTCAGACTTTTTTTTTAAGAGTCACATTTTCTACTTGTTCCCACTGTTTTCTTGTCAATGGCACTTTTAAGTAATTTGGTAACTGATGATACTCATGTTGCATTTATTTTCTGAACCTCAGACTTTAAGAAACTCAATAGTCAATGTTTGTGATCAATACAGTTTCTTATTGATCATACCAAGTTTTCTTTACACACCTCAATATCAGTAGTACCTTCACACATCTGTAGGTCAACCATTTTTCATCTTTTGTGCCATTTTGTCCCAAAGAAAGCTAAAATATTTCTCATTTTTTACTGACTCAGAGCTGTGAGATCATGCAACACTTACACTTGCACAACAAAGTAAATGAGACAAGAATATTATTCTAATTAGTGATATCTCTGACACAAACCTGATTAAGCTGGAACGTCCTCACAAGAAACAACTGAAAGCCGAAAATTCGACCTGTTTCCATAAACTTTCTAAACACTGCTGCACATGTTAAGGGCGAAGAAAAAGCACGTTCTCTGTACATCAAGAACAGCATAACTTCATCAATTTGTGGAGGCTTAGCGCCCCCTCCTGCAACAAAGAAGAATGGTTGCTTTGGTGCTCGCTGAATGTTTGTACTGGGATTAATGGCTTTTCATATTAGCAGACTCTCTCTTAACTATGCAGACATTTGAAAACCAAGTACTGAGTATTTTGTTTTGGAGAAACAAAACAAAAATCTTCACACTCATTTACTTCTGTGTTTGAGGGCAAATATCTAACAGCATTCACTCTTCCAGAGGCATTCATTAAATGCAGGAATCACAGACAGGGGGCTTGTATATGGAAATGAGAAGTTGGATTTGATCAACTGGATGCTAAAAGACAGTGAGCAGTGTGAAAAGTCCATACAACAGAGCACAAGGGTAGAACACCAACAGCTGCTGCTCCTGCATTGCCAGGGTGGAGATAAAGATCTTGGAGGCTGAGAAGCTGCACCAACAAATGGCCATCAGAGCCAGGACTATTCCCAGGATGCCTCTGAGAAAACAAAACCATGAAAGTTAAAATACAAAAGTTCAGCTTTCATCCTCAAATACCTAAATAAATCAAGTCTAGACAAACTACTAGATTGCCTTACTGCAAGGAGTAGAAAACAGCAAACGCAGATAGGGCCACTATAGGTAGGAGGCAGTACCCCAGGACACTAGCCACACAGCCATACGAAACTCCCAGGGGGCTCATCAGACTCAGCAGGGTGTACATACCAATGCAGGCGATGGCACTGATCCCATATACGTAACCAAAGTGAACTTTACCTGCCTTTGTTGGAAAGAGTTTAGAGGTTAGAACTACAACTCCATTATAAAGGTCAAAGTGCAGAGACCTTCGCATCACAAGAATCGCACTCACCATCATTAAAGTGACGCCCAGAGCGATGGAGAAGAGGATGGGACCTGTCAGATCGGTCTCGTTCATAATGCTGCCATCTGCAGGCTTCAAAGGGTTCAGAACTGTGAGGGTCTTCTGCCACATATGATCAAAATCAACTCCCAGTTCTGGAGAAATGCACACCAATTTGAGGAAATGTTGACCACAGCACAGAAAACAAGTAAATCTGTTCAGTCAACTAGATTTGTGTTCATATGATCTAGATGCAAAACAATGCCTATTACCAACAAGAAGTGGAGGTTCCTCCTCTAGGTACTCAGTTCTAGTGGAATGGATGGTTTGCTGGTAGATCTCTCCAGGGTACTGCTGTTCCATGTAAGGGTCCACATTGTTTGCATTTTGTGCACTACTGGATAGTCATCATCATAAAAACATCAATTATATTTAAAGTATGTTTTGAAGTAGAACTAAAATCCAATATTGATTTAACTTCCTTGAGTGTTACACAAGGTTTCTTTATAAGGTTATTTTGCTCCAGGAAATTATGTTGTTTTTTACATAACATTTAACTTGTTTAAAAGACTATGCATTTTAAAGCTGTTAGCTTTATGTATCGAAGAACGTGACTGAAGCTTTAACCTCTGAATATCTTGGTTATTCTGTGACTCTGGGTTAGATTAACTCCAATAACCATCCAGATCGCCAACTGATGCACTTACTCAGTGTCGTAATAAGCCACAGCACGGCCCTGGTCATCAATGTAATATCCCGATTGGTAGAAGTCCTGCTCAGACTGCTGGAAGTCATCCATGCTGCAAAAGGCTGAGACAAACCACAAAAGATATGAATATAAGGCATTAAGTAATTTTGTTATTGTTTCTCTTTGTGGCTGCAAAGAGCCATAAAGAGTTGTGTGGCTCTTTGCCACAAAACTTGTGGCTGCACTAAGGTTGCTAAATATCAGAAAAGGCCAAAGTCCACAATTCTTTTCTTTTCCTCTGAAAAAACTCACCTGGAAGTCTAAAAACACTCAAGACGAGCACACGTTCTCCTCTCAGCCTCTCTGCAGAGATTCAAGACAGAAAACATGGAGGCCTTTGAGGTTAGACTATTAATAGGAGACTATATTTGGACAGTGTAATAATGGACTGACAACTGGTCAGTTTGCTCCCAGAACCATTTTGTAAAAGCTTGATTGGAGTATTTGTAGAGTAAAATATGCATCATTTGAATATAAATCAGTAAAAAAATACATTCCATATATGTGCATTCAGCAAGTGTCAATACTGGCCCCTATGGACTGGACAAAAATGACTAAGCATCCTAACTGAAATTCATACTAATTTTTTTTTGTTGTTTTTTATATATATGTGCACTTTCTTTTACTTTTTCCACACAGTAAATACATCTTTTTAGCTGATTTGTCATTTAGCCAATCACATTAGCAAACAAATGACCATTTATGGTGCAGTTTATTCTTCTAAAAGCGAGCATCCAATAGCAATGAGTGACGGGCGGGACTTTAAAAATGTACATGCACAGTTGCGTTTCATGTACTTTGGGAACGGGTATGTAGAAAGAATTATATTCAGTTTCCTTCCGTCGAGTTTAGTTTATTGTTCTACAAAGACTAGTGAGCAAAGGGACTTATCTATAAACGCAAGAAAAGACTGAATATTTGTTTGCTCCCAGAGTTGCTAGTCTGAGGAAAGGGGAAAATATTCTAGTTTGTGTTCCAGCGAATGCAGCTTTCCAAGCAAGTTCAACACAGTTGCTCTACTAACCAATCAGAATGCTAGAAGTCCATCTAGACGTCGACCGTCTCAGTTGCTCCAATCAGAAGCTCAGCTTACTTTGGGCCCGAAACACTGGTCCAATCAGAAGCTTAGCTCGTTCAACGTTGGATCCGGATCAGAAAAGGAGCTGCTGCTGTCACTTCCACAGGTAGGACCGAGCAGAGTTAGCCATAACGGTTGGTGTCACGAAGTATTTTTTCAGCTGTGGAGGGTTGCTCCTTGTGCGAGTTTGAAGGTGTCCTGTGGGCTATATAGGCCACAGTGAAGCATTTAAAGCTACGTTTGAGCGGCTCCTAACAGTTGGAAGCTAAGAGCTAGCTGGCTAACGGTCAGTGGATGAATGAGCTGCGGGCGTTTCCTCTGACCTGCTGCGGGTTAGGACTCTCCTCTGACGGCGCAAATGTTGCCTTGGTAACTGCACAAATCTGAAATCAGCTGGAGTTTAGTTGGGGATTCCTTGTTGGCAGAAAACAACTGAAAACAATCGGCTAACAGCGCTATTAGCTTTTTGCCTCCATGCTGGAAACTTCCTGCAGCTTTAAGCACTCACCCTTACTCCATTTACTAGGGTCTACAATCAAATAATGGACTTTTGAATAAAAAAGTCATTTTGAAATAGGTTAAAGAGATCAGAAACTAATGATTTGCACTTTGCAAAATTAGGGGGTGGTTTGAGACTTTTGCACAGCTTTGAGACATAAGATCTCTTGCATAAGATTGCACAACCATTTCCAGTCAAGTTTTCTTGTAAGTCATTTTGTTTCTGTCAAGAAATTTGGAGAAGTTTACAACAGTTCAGAGCTCCACAGTGTTCCCCTAATTCACTTAGTTTGCACACTAGAAAAAATTGGAGTAGAGTGAAAAAAATAGAAATTAAGAAATTAAACACAAGATGTTTCATGTCATTATTAATGACTATCCATTTGATAATACATTTCATTTGTTTTGTTTTTTTTGACTCAACTTTTTCCTACTTAATGTTTTTATTATTGCTTCAAAAACTTAAACTGACTATATCAATCCACACAAAGTTTCAGGTAAAATTTTCATCCAGATTCGTGAACTTTTTCTATTGGTGACTGAATCGTCCAACAACAAAAACCTCCTCTTTATCAGCAATCCCTTAGGAACTTGTGTAGGAAAGATGCTGAGTTTTCACAAGGGTGATGCAACCCAATATGTTCAGACAACCTGGCTTGTTGCTGGCAACAGATTGGACGCACCTTTTCTGCTTTGCTCCTGGTTTTCCAACAAAGATCTGTAATAGGGCCGCGGTGATGGTGCAGGGTAAAACATGCGACCCATATGCAGAGGCCAGTCCTTGATGTCGTCACAGGTTCGAGTCCTGGCCCGTTGACCTCTGCCACGTGTCTTCCACATTTTTCTCAAACTGCTTTCCTGTCTAACCACTATCAAATAAAGGTCACTAGAGCTGGAAAAAAAGGTCTAATACTGGCCTCAGTATTACAGATCATCCATCCCAGATGCCTCAACTCCCAGAAAAGTGAACACAACTTAGACACACCTCTGACAGATTCCCTAAAGTCATTCCTTGTCCACGTGGTCTTATCAACTGTTGATGATTCTTTTAGCTGTGTGCTGTCTGAGGAAACGGATATTATGGATATTCATCTTAGGGTTACTGTCTGAGTGTTCGGCACTGTACAGGGTTGGATATGGCATATTAATTGCCCTGAGTTGCCCTTTTCCTTACTTCTTATGACTGTATCATAGCTTGAAATTCAATTCATTTCAAAAATACTTTATTTATCCTAAAGCGAAATTAAATATCGAAACTCTTATCATCCAAGCATCATCAAAGAGTTGTTGTGCATGGTGATGCTGTGGGCAGGAAGATCTCTGGTAGCAGGAAGTTGTGCAACAAATCTGAAGAAGCCATGTCTCCTCCCCCTTTTTTTTCAGTTATACAGTAATTACTGGTTTAGGTGTCCTTACTTTTTACTCTCTCAACAGTTTTTCTTGAACATGGTCTTGGATTTAATGTGATGTTCTGCTGTGTGGCAGCGTCGTGTCCGGTTATTGAAGTCGTCCATCCAGCACCATGGGAAAGAAGAGTCGGGTGAAGACTCAGAAGTCAGGCTCTGGAGCCAACACTGTGGTTTCCCCGAAGGAGATGATGAACCTCATCTCTGAACTGCTGCAGAGTATGTTCACCCTTTGACCTTTCACTGCTTTGCTCCTTAAACTGTTTAATCGCAACCCTCAGAAACTTGTTTTCCCAGAATGCAGTAGCGCAGCACCCTCTGGTGGTAAAGAGTGGGAGGAGTACGTCCAGATCAGAGGCTTGGTGGAGAAGATCAGAAAGAAACAGAAGGGTCAGACTGGACACAACATCTCCTAAACACATTTCTTCCCAGCTGATAAAATGTGACCGGTTTTCTGTTTTTGTGTGTTCAGGTTTGTCAACGGTGTTTGATGGCAACAGGGAGGACTACTTCCCTGATCTGATGTGCTGGGCTCAGGAGAACGGGGCGTCCTGTGACGGCTTCACAGTGACCGATTTTGGTACTGAAGGGTACGGCCTGCGAGCCACCAGAGACATCAAGGTGTGAATTAGAAGACAATTTGTCAGCTAAACGTTTAATCAGTAAAATAAAGGCGGAAGTTCTCCCTTTTACTCATGCCAGTGTGTTTGTGTGTGTCTACAGGCAGAAGAGCTGTTCCTCTGGATTCCAAGGAAGATGTTGATGACTGTGGAATCAGCCCAGAACTCTCTGCTTGGTAAGAGTTAGAAGCTTAATATTAACAAGATTCAATTCATCAAATAATCGCATAATTAATGAGCTTGATAATTTACATTCTGATCAATAAGATCTTCTTTACACACATCAGGACTCCATTTATGAAATGCAGTTACATTTTTATTTAGGGGGTCAAGGCTCTGACTACAAAATGCAGTAAAACATCTTTGAGGAAGTTATTTTCAAATCATGGTGCACAGCTGGGATTACTTGGACCCTGAGGAAATCTGCTTTTTTGTTTTTTTGAAAATAGGAAATATTCTGCTTTTATCTCTTTCAATATAAACACTGCAAACATTCAAAAATGTCCATTGTAGCTGAGCTCAACAGTTGTTTGTTCATATTAAAAAAAAAAAAAAAAAAAAATACCTGATCCTTTTAGCATTTGCTAAATGTTTACCCCAGGCTGTTGATCTTATTGTTGACCTTACTGTTTGTCTCAGGTCCTCTGTACGGTCAGGACCGGATCATGCAGGCCATGGGCAACGTGACGCTGGCCCTGCACCTGCTGTGCGAGCGCGCCAGCCCCTCTTCGTTCTGGCTGCCGTACATTCGCAGTCTGCCCCAGGAGTACGACACGCCGCTGTACTACCAGCAGGATGATGTCCAGCTGCTACTGGGAACGCAGGCGGTGCAGGATGTCCTGAGCCAGTACAAGAACACTGCACGGCAGTACGCCTACTTCTACAAACTAGTGCAGGTACGCAGACGGCATCGCTTCATCCACACACAGCTTTTGTAGTTTTGAACTGATTGCTTTAAATTTGGCTGTATGAAATGCATTCAGTTGATTTATGAGAAAACAAACAATATCATCCTGGAAGAAGGAAAACCATGAGTCATTTGTTGGACATTCAGTAAACAACTGCTGAATTAAACAAAGTGATTCTGGATGACTTTTGGAAATTTAGTTGGACGAACAAAACAAAATCATTATTTTTTTTCATATAGTTTGTGTTCAAACAAAACTGGTCAATAATGTTGGACATGAAGAAAGCAATGGTCTGATGTGAAGAGTGAGACCAAGAATTTGATCTCAAATCCCTTTGGTCTGAGGATGACATTTATTTTGTTTGTATAAAACTCAACAACCAGCAGGGGGAACCATAGGGCCTATATAGAGCAACACACCTCATATCTGGAGGACTCTACGTTTGACTGATCTGTGACAGGGTTGAAGATAAATTATGTTGGGATATTTTTAATTCGCAATCGTCCTCTTTAACATCCTGAAACTAAGCTCATTTTATTCTTTCATGCAGCCTTAAGAACATATGCAGTGAATTTCTGATGAAATATCAGTTCACAGGCCCTGATAACAGATAGTGGAATATTAATAGGAAATTATGCTGTTGTTTTTTTTTTTTTTTTTTTTTTTAATCTAAATCGGCTTTGATCAGAACTCTCCACAGCTTCTCTCTTTGAAGTCGTCCGCTTTGTCTTGTCGCAACAAAATAGTTTCTGGCTTTTTCTGTCTGCTGAAAACTAAAACTTAAATGGCAACTACAAGATCTGTTTTTGAATACATTGTCCCTGATTTCAGGTAGAGTAAAAAAAAAAAAAAAAAATTTTTTTTTTTTTTTTTTTTTTTTCAGGAAAGTTCGCTCCTTCTATAATTTCTCTTTCCACCAGAGGGCAGTATTATGTTCTGAACTAGTCTTGACTTTTACCTAT